GCAACAACAACAAGACAACACAAAAAAAAGGAAAACACTGGAAAAAGAGGACGCTGTGATGGCGACCGGGAAGCCACCGGCGCAGAACCTTAAAGTCAAGAATAACGACAGCAACACAAGCTGCGCCTGACTGCCGTCTTCCCCCTCCTATTCCTACACAGGGGAAGGCGCACAACAACGGGGTGGTGGCGGTGCAGGGCGGTGTGCACCCGGCGTCCCCCCTCTGGAGAGTAAATTTGTCCCACATACACGCACACTGCGAGAGAGCAGCAAACGAACTCACAAAAAAAAAAGAAAAAAAAACAGGAAGATGGCAGCGGATCCCTCGCTGTGAACGCGCGCGAGGTGGCGGTCCTGTGGGCCCCCTCCCCCGCAGCTGCCAGGCCCTTCCCAAGCGTGGAGGGGCGGGGTGGGGGTCGTGGAAACGAAAGCAGCAAAGACAAAAAAAAAAAACAACTGTAGTCGCCGCCCCACCATCACCACCCAACGCGGCGTATGTACGTGCATGTATTCTTTGCAACGAAACAAAAAAAAAAAAACAAGCCGAGCAAACGTGAATCACCAAGGTTACACCAAAAGACTGCCACCGACCGCATGGCTCGATCGAGGATTGCACACAATTCACTTCACAAGACCCCCCAATCAAAACGCAAAAACAACACAAGAAAACAAAAAAGAAGAAGAAAATAGGCAAAACATGGGACGGCTCCACAAGAGCCTCATCTTTGTGCGGCTCGCAGCTTACGGGCATCTCCCCAATTTCCATGTAGCCTACCAACCCACGCCTCTGCCTCCACCCACGTTGCATTTTTCACAGAGACTTCCTTTAAGCGTTGGTACTTATTAGTTTACTGTGTTGTTCTCAAATTTATTGTCCTTGGTTGTTATTGTGTGCCTTCTGCTTCTTTTTCCTAGACGTTCACCCGGTTGTACACGTGGGACGAGGCCGAGAGAGCGTACATGACGTCGTCGGGACGCAGTGGCATCCTCAACGGGGGGTTCGTGATGAAGTACCGCGCCACCCCCGGCAGCTTCTCGGAGGCGGGAAACCGGCGAAACACCCCGATGGTTATCCACGAGTGCCGCGAGAGCAGGAAAGAGAAGGCGTCGCCAAAGGTCCGAAAGTGCAGCAGCTGATTGCCGCACACCTTGAAGCGCGTTGTGGAGGTATTACTGTAGCTCGACCACAGGGCGGGGTCGTAGAGGTCGTCGTTCCCCTGCTGGCAAAGCACCATCTCAAAAAACTGCATGATGCGGTGATCGCGGTGGGCGTGGATAAAAATCGTCTGCAGCATGTTGGGTGAAAAGCACCGGCCCATCATGAAAGCCAGAGAGTCTTGAAACTGTTCCTCGCCGCGCCGGCGCCACGCCGGGTCGGTATGGTACGGAATGACAGAAATGCAGGAGACGAACGACTTCAGCTCCACCACCAAATTCTGTTCAAAGAGGCGCGTCAGCTGCGAATACCGTCCGCCCACCCCCTGCAGCTCAACTTGCGAGCCCAAATCCATTAAGTTCGTGACATTATTCTCCACCGTGATAAGTGGGATGTCGGAGAAATCCCAGCGTCCAAGCTGCGAGCAGTAGAGCAGAATTCCACGCAGCCTCAAGCGACCCCCGCTTCGCTGAATGGCGTAGTCCAGGTGGGACTCCGACGTGCTCAGCCCACGGATGTAGCACAGCGAGAAGCCAAAGTTCAGTTTCCACCACAACAAAAAATCGTTTGAGAGCTTCCGCGAAGTGAGAAGTGTCAACCGAGAGTTGGGGTAGATAGATTGTATGCTCTGCATCATCCGCACAAGTTCGTACTTGGAGATGACCTCATCGAGGTACTTTTCGTACAGCGAGGACTGCGCCGGCTGGCAAAAGGACGAAACCTGGTCAAGGAATAGAAAATTCTCCACCCCATCCTCCTTTTCAATGCGGCCAAGGTACTCCAAGGCGATATGCGCAAGAACGTCATTCACCTGTTGTTCAAGCCGTGAAATGGCCTCCTCCATTGTGCCCGACGCATGTGCCACTGCCGCTCGATGGTACCCCAACAACTCCCTCAACACCGCCATGGAACCGCCTAATGGAAGCTCCTTCAGAGAAACACCGTTTGGATGCTGGTCAACAAACGGTTGTTGCAGCAGCTGCCATCGCAACTCCCACACCTGTGCATCGGAATATCGTGACTCACAAAACGCTGACGAGGGACCTGGTTTGTCTTGCGCACATTCACGTCCCACTGGCGAGACTGTGTTGCACTGCTGCAAAGGCGTCATCCCCCCTCCCTCGCCACACAGCTCAGAGCTCGTGTTGAAGGGATAATAGAGCTTGACGTCACTCATCTCCGCGCTTGGGGAATCCAGCTCGAGCTCAAGTAAGTCCTGCCTTGACATGTAAACAGAGTCCCCGTGTGGATTGGACTCAAAGGAGTTATTGTTGGCGAACGTGCTACTGTCAAATGGTTGGGTCGCGCCAGCCATGTCCGGGTCTAGTCTCAACAGCACCTCCGCTAGGCCTCTAAGATTCCCTTCGTGCAGCACAAGCAAAGTATCGCCCTGCTCAAGAATGTACCGCAGGTCCAGTCGCATGACATTGCGGGCTGCCTCCTCTACACCCACGACGAGCACGTCATGCATTTTCAAAAGCCGCACAACGCGGGAGAGGGAGAGGCGCACAAAGTACCACGGCACGGGACATGTTGCAAAGTTGTTGCGGCGGCTGTACTCGTACAGGCTCTTCCAGTTATCCTGCGAACGTTCGTCCCATAAATCGGGCGGTGAGGTACCGGAGGCGGAGGCGACGCGCACTAAGTTCACAAGAAACGGCAGGATCCCGGGGAGGAGTAGCGCCGTGGACATGATAAATTTGTTATTCTGGTCAAAGATACACCTTCTATGCCCGCCAAGCAGCTTTGCATGAAAGGCGAGGCGTAGGCGCAAGAACTGTGGCACGTGTGGAGCGTGGCGTTGAAAGGTAATGGACCACAGCATGACGTCTGCATCGATGTTGCTAGAATCGGTTTCAGCGCCGGGGAGAATGATGATGGCGGACGCCTCTGATATCTGCAGCCGCTCCATCATGCGTCGATCAAGCAACCGCACCTGGTAGAAGCTGCTGCGCATTCGGTAGCGCGGGTGACGCCCAATGGCGAGCACCTCCGGTGAGAAACTGCTGTAACAGAAGCAAACCACCTTCATGGGGTAAAGTGTCAGGACCTCTTCAAGGATCGAGACGGCGTCCTCGTAGCTAACTTGCCCGTATACAAAGAACTGACGTTTCCTCCCCTTGTAGCGCGGAAACTCACGCAGAATGCGCAGCGTTGATATCGCCAATAAGACCCACGTGGGTATGGTGGCGAGGAAGGTTAACACAAACACCAAGGCCAGGGCACGACCATCCAACCCGGACGGAACGATGTCGCCAAAGCCAACGGTGGAAGCCGTCACCACAACCCAGTAGAGGGCATTCCAAATTCCAAGACTGTGTCCAAGCAAGGCATTATAGATGTGAAAGATGCAGCCAAACGTAAATAGAAGGGCAAAGAAAAAACTTAGTGGACCAGCGGCGAGGCGGATGACATCCAGTCGATGATTACGCGGCGTGAGCATCGCGAAGGAGTCTAGTAGAAAGAGGAAGTACTGTCGCATTGCCCAGCAGCGCAGAAAGAGGGGCACGTACATGCGGCTTACCCACCCCAGCCCACTCACAAGGGCTACAAAGTAGGTGATGATTCTATAACCTGACGTCCCGAGTACGACAATGATGGTGAAGGTGCTCACGGAGTGGGCGACGACGAGCTGTGAGAGAAGTACAAGGGACAGAATGGTCTGAACCGTCGCATACCAATCAAAATTCTTCCTGCTATAGTTCACCCAGGTCACTGTATCAAGCTGCGCTGTCTGCATGATGTACAGTATGACCATCGCCGTCTCACAAAGAAAGAGGAACAGCCAGATACACACCGCCACCACGGGATACCGCCGCACAAGGACCTGGAAGGAGCGCCTGGGTCCTGTCATCATGGGAAAACCAAACGGTGGCTGCGCGCGCCAACGGGGTCCACACCGATACGAGAAGTAAGACGTCCACCAAGATATTTGGCAGGAAATGCGGGTTCCCGCCTTTTTATAATATTCACTTCCTCGCAGCAAGGCGGAACGCCGCGTGAGACGTTCCTGCCTTTGATCACGAAAGCGCCACGAGGCGACGTGGGGCACATATTTGGCGTAGCACTTGTAGCGACCAACCATTGTGAGATCCATCGTATCCCTCATGGCCTCCGCTTCCGCGTCTGCCGCGCAGGGCAAGACGGGGCCCGGCGGTGACGCAGCTGGCAACGATCCTTCGCTTCCCTTTCTATCATTCTTCTTACTTCGCATGTACTACACAAACACCACTAGCCGGGGTCCTTGTAACCGGTTGTTATTGGTTTTGTTATTGTCCGGCTCCCTATATATATATGTATATATATATGTGTATATATGTGTATTCCTTTTTTTTTGTGTGTTGCCTTCTGCCTCCTCCTACACCCTCCGTGCAGCGAATGTGGAGAACAAAAATGCACATGCGCCCAACGGATGGAGCAGTTGCCTTACCCGCCCGCCACCACCCTCCTCTCCACCAATGTCTTCACGCAGAAGCGGAACGTGAAACAAAGTAGCCAGCACCCCCTCCCAAAGCGAAGAATAACAACAACAACATACATACATGTTGAAACCAAGTTTGGTGTCCCCCATCACCCACACAGACACACACACACACACACACACACACAGAGAGAGAGAGAGACAGACTCACGCACAGTCACACCGCCACACAGAAAGAAAGGAAGAGGAGAAAGAGGAGAAAGTAAAGGTGGCACAAGCTTAGGCCCCTCAGACACCGCCGCTTTCTTTAGAGTCGGATAATCTGGTCGGCCTGCTGCAGGACCTCCGCGTCGTGTGTTATGCAGAGTGCCCCGCGCAGTCGCCCGGACCGCAGTAACGTCATCAGCTGCGCCATGACGGCCTTCTTGGACGCCGCATCCAGTCCAGCGGTGGGCTCATCCATCAGCAGCACACCACCACCGTGGTACAAGGCCCGGGCCAGCATCAGCCGCTGTCCTTGCCCGCAGCTCAGCTGCACACACCCCGGTGTCACCCAGCCTGTCGTCAACGACAATGGGGTGAGAAATCCCTGAGGCAGGCGCCCGATAAAGTCCATGCACCCTGCCGCCTCCGCACAACTCCGCACCCTCGAAAGTAGTAAAAGGTTTGCAACCGAGACCTGGCTCCGTAGAGTGATGTTTTGGGCAATCGTAGCACCAGCGAAGATTGTGGCAATCTGTGGCATGTAACTGAAGAGCGTGGCTCGGAGAAGCCTGCGTGGAAGTGACGCAACCGGAAACCAACCGCCTTCCCCCATACCGTCGTTGTCGCAGATGCTATTACCGTCATGCACACCGCCATGGTCGTGGTTAGTCTGCGCCTCCGTTGTCACACCTCGGCGAGGTCGCAGCTGCAGCATCAAGCGGTTGGGGTCGGTTGTGTACAAGGCCAGGAGGAGACGCAGCAGGGTTGTTTTCCCGCAGCCACTCGGTCCTGTGACGCAGACCAGTAGTCCTGCCCCTGTCAAATCATCCTGCAGCTGCAGCGTGAATGAGAGGGGCGCCAGAAAGGCATTGACGGTGGGAGCGGCTGGGTACTGAAACTGCAGGCCATCGGCTCGGATGCGGTGAACTTCAACCTCCACGTCCTCGCTCAGCAGAGCCTCCCCCTTCCCGTTCGCGTGCTCGCACGACGCAGCCTGGCTAACTTCACCATCTATTCTAGTCGTGGCGGCAGCGCCGAAACTTCCTTCCAGGCGCTCTTCCCTTTCCCAGTGCCTGGGGTCGATAATTCGCTCCAGCGTATTTGCCTTATACGCATTGCTCAGCACCACCTCACCCAGCCGCTGGGCATCTACTGCCTCGTCCAGCAGCCCCTGCACAGCACGCATGGCCTCCATGAGAACTCCCTGCGCCTGGCACGTTGCCGCTGCCTGGGCGGTCACAATCGCCGGCAAAAGCCACTTAGTCAGAGAAATGAGGGCGTCAATGTTCCACAGGCGATGAAGGGAAATCACTACACGCAAAATGCGGCGCACCATTTCTGGCCCCTTGCGGTCCTGTGAGGAGCGCTCCGTCCACCAGCTCATGAGCGCCGTGTCCGCCCCGTGTGGACGCAGTTCGTAGATGTGTTCAATGATCTCCATCCCCCGTAGCATCATGCCGTCCGTTGCCATGTTGCCATTCTCTTCCTCCTCGGCGTCTACGTTCCCGTCTTGCACGCCCACAACGCACCTCCTTCGAAGCATCGTTAGCACGCCTGTAAGCAGGCTGGATGCCCCCACCGTCGCCAAAACAACCACGCGACTGTGTCGGTCCAGGGCCGCGGCAGCCGCTGCAAACATCGCCACGGCACGCACGAGTCGTGCAAAGTAGTTGTGTACCTGCACATCAACCCCCTCAAGGTCATTGGCGTAGTACATAAGCTGCTCCACCTCCTCCTGCTCTCGCGTGTCGAAGAACGTTAACGGCGTATGGGCAAGCGCCTCGTACAGCTGCCGCTTCACTGAATCGCGATGACACGAAGCGGAAGTGCGAACATAATCCTCCGTCACCCGCATCACCGCGGCGGTGGCGACAAGGCGTGCCCACTCAAACGCCAAAAGCCGCACAATGACCCCTCCGACTGCGTGGGAGGATGCGTCCCAAAAGCCATCCTGCGAACGAGACAGAAAAAGACTTGGGGCAATGCTCAGCAGCCGCTCAACCTGCTCCCGCACTGTGAACCCCGTCGTTGTGCTGTGTGCAGCAACGGCAGTAAGCAGGCCCATCATGGCGCACGAGAGCAGCTTCTCACGACAGCCGGCGTAGAGGTACCTGGCCAGACTCCACGTGTTTTGTAGCTGCAGCCGAAATCGCCGTCGGCGCAGGCGCCGCAGTTCCTCTGAGAGGGAAGACCAGCAGATCGCAATTGCCGCTGAGGAAGATGCAGCGGAGCACCCCGCAAGTGGATGAATAAACGCCCGGTAAAAGACTGTGGAATGGTCGTCAAGGTCAGCCAGAACATCGCTACATTGGCCAACATCGCCGTTTACCATCACTGCCACGTGAACCGCTCGGGTGAGCTGCAGACGCCACAGCAACGCCAACGCTGCGGCAGCAAGAAGATCGTCCTCAGACGTCAGGGTGGACTCTCTTACTGCACGCTGCAGCAAGCAAAGAACCTCACGCTCGTCCAACGCGTACCTCACGTGGTCCTTCCATATAATCTGCAGAGCGTCAGGAAGGGCGCCGTCTGCGATGCCATCTGCGCCTATGGGTAAGGCGATACGCCCGCCTCCGTCTGTCAACGTCAAACTTGGGGCGTTAAGAATGGCGTCACGCAGCTGGTCCCAATAATAGCGCACGGAAGATGCGTCTTCCTCGATGGTTATTATGTCTCCAGCAGATGCCGCGGGCGGCGCGCCTCGTAGAGGCCGATTACGCGCCTGTAGCCACATCATCGTGTAGTAGGCGCCATCTGCCGCCAGAAGTGCGCCAGCAACACCCCAGAAGAAGGTGCTGGAAGATACGGCACTTTGGGTGGCCCGCCGGACGCCACATGAAATTTGATACATCAGCGCCAATGAGCAGGAGGCTGGCCGTCCACAGGAGGAGGAGGAGGCGGTGGCGGATGTAGAAGGGCAACTATCTGCCATCGCTGTCTGGTGAGCGTTTTTACCGTGTTGTTGTCCTTGGTTGCTGATCGTGCAACTTCGCCCTCGCTCCTTTCCTGGAAACAGATACACACGCACATACATGGACAGGAAAGCACGGCAAGAAGGGCGCAGGCAAAAAGAAAAAAGAGAGAGAAAGAAGCAAAAAAACAAAAAAAGAATGGAAGGAGGGAGGGAGGGAAGGAGAAGAAAATCACCGGCATTCACAGCACGCCACTCCGCCGCCAATTAAGGCGGTGGAGAGGCATATGAAAGGAGGAGTACGTGAGAGAAAACAAAATAAAATAATAAATAAGAACCGACCGGCTGGCAAAGCCCCGCAAAATAGATTTCAATCTATGACTTCACAACGACTTCGGAAAATCACATGAAGCCATAGTCGTCCTCCTCCAGCAGCAAGAGCTCCTCGTCACGCCGACGCTTTCGCCCTGCGGTTTCCGCCTCGCGGGTACTGCCGCCTCCTCCAGCACCAGAGCCACTACCGCTGCCAAGCACATTACCACTCCTGCCTTGTTTTCTTCGCTCATGATCCTCCGCACCGCGGTCGGTCGCCCATTCCGCGTTTGCCTCGCTAATTGCGCTGTCGTCTGTGGTAGTGATGAGTGAGGCGACTTCTTTGCCGTACCGATCGCGGCCGGCGACAGAGTAGCGTACGATGAGGCCCACGGAAGGTCGGCAGCGCGCCGGATCCATCGATGGGTCCCAGAGAAACGCGTCACTGTAAAACAGTACGCCTGACATATCATCTTCCTCAGAGCGAATGACACCGCGAAGTTCATCCGCATCGTACATGCGAATCGTCCCGCAACGACGTGCCAGGCACTCGTCGGTGCCGCCTGATGTGGTGCCACGACCCCGCTCTTCTGTGCGACGACCGGAGGCGCGAGGGAAGAGACGCTCGAACCATGCCTGCTCCACCATTAATGCGTATCCGTTAGCAGGCAAGCCACGAAGTTCGTCTGCCCGTAACCGACGACTCGCTTGGTTCCCCGCGCGGTTCCACCGCGTAGTAAACGTCACGGTCTCTGACATCGACACGATGGGTTTCCCAACTTGTAGAAACAACAACAACAACCGCGCCGCCTCCGGCGTGAGGAGTGCAGCTGCCTGCTGCACTAGACTCTGGGTTCTGGCATCGCCGTCGTCAACAGCCTTAGAAGTCGTGCTCTTTGTGTCGTTCGGTTTATTTTCCGCATTGTGCCTATCGCCTGCGTCACCCACCTCCGTGGTACCCTTTGTGTTGGCCTCTGTCTTGGCCTTCCCAGCCTCCTCTGCTGCCGACTGAGAAGTCGTGTTGTGACTGGCCGAAGCACTTGTGGTTGTGGTGTCGGAAGAGGCCCCCAGTACGGAGGCCGTGGCCCTATTCGCCCTGCGATCACCCCCGCCAGTCCCTCGGGAGGCGTCTTTCGGTTTCAGAACGGCCGGAAGGTTCCCACAATAATACGCCTCCAAGACACGGCGCGTAAAGAAGTACTCCACGTTGTCGCGGGTAAAGTAGACGTCTGGACCACCCACTTCCGGGGCAATAAAGCCAAATCCCTTGCAATGGCGAAAAAGCACGCAGCGACCCTCGTGTCGGATCCCCTCCTCTGGACGCATGATAGCCATTTGCTCCTCGGCTGTTAGGGCCAGGCGCCGAGACGCATCTGCCATGTCCCGTTGCTGCTGTTTTTGACGCTGACTTGAGTGACCTGCACGCGAAGCCTCACGGTTGTTCCCCACCCCTGCTCCCTTTCCCTTGTTTCTGTACTCTGCCTTCGCGGTTTCCTCTGCCTCACCCTCTTCGTTCGCCACGAGGAGGGCAGCGTACTTTGTCGCCTCCCGCACCGCCTCATCGTCGGCGTCCAGCTGTAGATCAAAAACGTGCCGCAGGGACCCGTCGCCCGGTGGCGCTGCCACCTCCTCCATCTCCGTTGCCTCAGCCGCACGGCGCATCATCGCACTCACATCTATGACGCCGGTGTTGCTCATCGGTGCACCGGAGGACTCCAAAAAAAATCCCTCCGCCGCCACCGTAGCCGTCCCCACGCCGCTCTCGCCGTTGTTGTCGTTGTCCTCAACAGCCGCGGCAGCAGCAGTGCGTCCGCTTGCCATCCGCGCACATTTTTCCCTCAGCGTCTCTGGTCCTGTGTCGAGTACGACATCGGCCGGGATTGTTGAAAAGACGGTGTCGAAGAGGTTCCGTGATGTCAGCCGGGCTGCGCTTGACATTCCCCTTTTTTGGTAAAGATAACTTATGTTGTTGTTGTTTGTTTTTTTTTTTTTAAGAAGTAACCACAATGAAGAGGAGTAACAAAGACGACAAGGAGGAGGGAGAGAATAGAGAGGCACCGGGGCCTCCACCTCGTGTGGTGTGTCCTGCGTTTCTTCGTCTCTTACTCCTCAGCTCCGTCACGCACACGACTGGCAGCCACCTCTAAATACCTCCTCCCAACCACGGCGCCGCGGAGAAGGCGAAGGAGAGTATGCGTATTGCACGTAGGTACAGAGAAGGGGCACCTCGTTCACGCTGTCCACTTGTACGCGCCGGTGGGCAGCGCTCTTTCCCTTGTTCCGTCCCGTGTCTCTTGTTTTTTTTCCTCTTTTTACTTTAGTGCTTTCCTTTGAAATACACAAAAGGCGGAAAAGAGGCCTCCATGCCGCTCCGCAGCACCGCCCTGCATGTCTGCCGTGCCAGCTGCGAGCGGCAGAAGGCGGGCGAGGCATGTCACCGCCCTAGCAACCGCGTCAGGACCTGCTCTTGGGCTTGAAGCCGCACCTCTAATGCCTCGCGCTCCATCGCCTCCACCTTCAGCGCCGCCTCCAAGCGTCGCACGCGCAGCAGTAGTGCCTCCGTCTCCTCGGGAGAGGCGGGGGCAGTGAGAAGGCCTGGCAGTGCGCCGTCGTGGGTTTCGCCCTCCATTAACACACGCATCCGCTGCTGCAGAACGGCGTTTTCAGCGGTGAGGTCCTGCACGAGCTGCCGCAGCTGCGCCACCTGCTGCGAAGGGGGGAAGGAGGAGGGGGCTTGCGGCGACGCCACGCTAAGGGCCAGCGGGAGCGCGGGGGAAAAGTATCGCTAAGTTTATTGACTCCAACGGCGTTTATGAACGATGGAGCTTCGTCGTGCCGCAGCAGCCCTGAACCCCCCGTGGACGCGGACGCGCTGTTGTTAACATTACCCCCAGCCTGGGTTAGGGAGGAGCCGTCAAGCACCTCAAAACACGGCCCTTTTGCCGCAGTGAAATTCCCCGCGCCTCCGCCTTCACGCCCGCCCGGCACAAAACGTGACGGCCGCGGCGGCGGCGGAAGCGGCATACCTACAGTATTTTATGTTGTACGCCGGCCCCTCTTGCAAAACGCCTGCGGTCGGTAACACGTGCAGCAGGGGGAGGCTTGCTTTTGGGCACCCACCCCAGCGATAAAAGACAACAAGAAAGAAAAAAAAAAGGTAAACAATACGCACATGACACGTATTCACGCACGCGCACAAATGCATATGTTATACGCGTCAATGCGTGCGTGAAAAAAGAGGGGAAATAGGGAGACGGAGAAGGGATACAAGAATGACTTCAGTGCCCCCCACCCCCACCCCCACAAGCAGCAGCGCTAGGGCTTGGCGCACCATCTGCAGGGCAGCGCGAGCAACACAAGAGACGTAGGCACCACCACTGGCATTCGCTCACCGCCACACCACGAGCTCCCGGCAACGCAGGGACGCCACGGAGAGTCAAAGGAGAGAAGAAAAACATAAAGAAGAGACCTTTACACAACTCACTTAGTCCAGCAACTTTAAAACGTGGCCTAACCGCTACGATCAACAGCTGCAGCACTATTGAATAAAAAGGCAGAGAACACACACACACACACGCACATACACACAAAGGAATTGTATGCAAATATATATATATATATATATATATTGTTGTTGTTGTTGGCGATGTTTGCCTGTTTTTTTTTTTTGCTTCCGTAGACGCCAAAGCGGAAGAGCAGGGGCGGAAGGGTATCCCCTTACCGTCTGACCCCGCTCACTTCACCGCTCTCTCTCTCCTCCCTGATGCAATAGTTTGCTAACCCGCTTCTTCATCCGATTCACAAGCCCCTTAAGAGGTAGGTTATCTGTGCCACGCCGTGACCCGCCCGACGACGACTCTGACTCCCTCATGGAAAAGGGTGTCGTGGACGACGCAAAGCTTTGAGTCAGGTCCGCCCCCAGCTCCTGCGGCAACGCCTGGAACGGCACTCTGCTTGGGGACAGTGACGGCAGTGGCCTATCGTCATCGTAAAGCACAGGGATCATCGCCTCACCAGAGGAAGTGTTGAGGGTGTCGACCTCTGTATGTGCGAAAGCTGTGGCAGAAAAGGTGGAATTCGGGCCCTGCACCGCGTCGCTCTCCTGCACGAAAAAGTTCACACCATCCTTGTCGAGCAGCGGCGAGCCCTCTTCTGAGGACGGGGGGGAGTATCCAAAGCAGGGCAGCGGGAGGTCCTCCATGGAGGGCAGCACCATGTCCTCAAAAAGCATTACCTTCACGACGTTGGACATGACGACACTCATGTCCGGCATCAACTTCAGCACGGCGTTCAGGATTCCATCGTGCGAGGCGACTTCTTGGGTGAACTCCAGTCGAAGCTGCGGCGGGCGTGGGCCTCCAACCCAAATTTTGGAGGACGGCGGTGGCCCAACCCTCAGCCGCATGTGACTGGAAAGCTCAAGTATCTTGATGTTGAATATAATACTTGGCACCCGCACCCCGCGGTAGGTGATGGCAAAGCGGAGGCTAAACTTCAGCCCACCGCGGTACAAAAAGTCAAAGTCCAGCTCCACCTCCCCGGTGGGGAAGACGCTCGGCTCGCCAACCCCACGAATCAACGGAATCTCGCCACCGAGCTCAAGTTGATCCAGCAGAATTTCTCCATGGATGTGCTTTGGGAGTTTGCGGGACACACGTCGCAGCTTTCGGCGTATTTTGGCAATTAGGAGATCCTGTAGTCCGCTGGTTCGTGTGTTTTCAAAGAATAGGCGGGCCACAACGAGGTTAAACACATCAACGGAGGGCAGATGATTAATAAACACGCGCCACTCCTCGGACTGAGGGGTGGCCTGAAGCAGGTTGTACCAACGCTCCAGCTCCCGCCGCGTGGGAAACTTAAACAGCACCGCCTCCCACGTGTCAAAGCACTCCTTCTCGTCGTCCACCTCATCGAGGTCCAACCCCCCCGCCTGCATGACACCGTTTTCATCACTGTAGATGTCACCTCTCTGAGCCCTGCCACGACCAACCTCAAAGCCCCCACTGGCCCCTTTGTCATCCACGTGGTGACTGTGAACGTGGTGGTGGCGGTGCTTACTCGCTTCTACCTTATTTTCCTCTACCTGCTGCTTGCGTTGCTGACGCCGCTGCTGGCGCGACAGCTGCAACACCGGGTCCTCCTGAATCAGCGGCAATCCCTCCTTGCGGCGCAGTATAAGACATTTTCCCCGCAATGGCGCCTGTCGCGTGGTCGCGTCCGTGTGACGGTGGTATTTGGACAGCTTCTCCGACATGCTTGTCACCGTGGCGGTGTTGATCTTCCCAATCAAGTGTTCCGCCTCAATGATCGTGTGGTCACCGTCCTCCGACTTGTGACTACGGTCAATCTGGTACACAGAGATGGTTTTACCGAACAGCACGGCCCGGACAGGAATGACAGGGCCCACAATGTCGTTGTCGTAGCGCGCCATCTGACATATATCCTCCACCTTCCACAGGGAGACCTCCTTGTCGGAGACCTTCGCGGCGCGCTGCCGGAGCCTCATCTCCCTGCACCCAACCAGGCTCTCCAGCATCTGCTCCAGCTTGAGGAAAAGAAAGGAGAGAAGGAAGAGGGTCGTTGCCGCACCCCCAACGACGCCGCACACGAACGACAGCCACGAAGTCATCGCCAATGAAACGTGCACCTGCCAGTACGTGGGTGCGCCTGCCTAATATATTTGCTTGCTTCTGTTGCGTGTCCCCCCACTGCAGCTTTTCTGTGTGCTTTAGCCTTCAACAGGCCACCCCCGACACCGACGATCACCAAGAGCGAGGGGTGCACCGCAATTGAGGAGATGGGGTGGCGACAAATGACTTTTCGCAGACGCGCCGCCCTATGCGGATGTGCATACCCCCAAGTCAAGTCCCGACGCATGCAACAACAACAACAAAAAAAAAGAATAGATGGTGTGCGTGCGTGCGTGCGTGCGTGCGGGGTAGAAAAAGGCAAAGCGGGAGCAGCGTGGGTGCAAAGGCAACACAGCACAGCAGCCGGGACGCCCCGCCGCATACACGCAGAGAAACAGAGGAGCAAACACCCAACACAACTCGCGTTCTCCCTCATTCCGTTTGACACAAAATAAACCTTCCACGGGCACCACCACCATTTTATTCGGTGCGACCTCCTTCTTTCCTTCTCTCGCTCTCTCTCTCTCATTGGGCAGGGCGAGAGTGAAAAAGAATTGCAAGGAAGCACGTGCTCGACGGTTTACGTCGCATGGCGGCCGGCGGCTGCACGCAGTGGCACTCTTCACCGCTGCTCCCGCCGTTGTGCAGATTCAAGCAAACAAAAAATGACGGTGGTGGGCTGGCCCCCTTCCAGCCCCTTAATGCAGGAGTTACCGAACACACACACACAAGGCACACAAGGTGCTTACGTCTTGTATTTTCTTGGGTTGCTGATTTGTTTGTTTTTACGTTTCGTCTCGTTGTTGTCTACTCCCGTTTCCCACCGCACCAAGGCACAGCAGTATGAATTGTCAGCCGGAAACAAACACCACCTGCAGAGAAGAAAAACAAAAAAAAAAAATCACACACACAAAAAAAAAGGATACTTCACGCTGGCCGGGCACACTGCCATGGGGATCCGTGCAACTCCGCACGCGGGGCATTCCTGCTTGCAGCGGAGCGGGAAAAAGATGGAAAATATTTCCGCACCTGCTGCTGGAACAACGCCTGACCTTCTTCTACAAAAAAAAACTGGCAGCAATGTCGGGCATTCCAGTGGCGCGTTTGACAGCCTTCCGCATCAACTCACGCGCCTTAGATTTTAGTCGCAGCCTCCGCCCGTCCTCTGAGTTCGGTGGGAGTGAGGAGGGAGGCGTGAGGGCCACGGAGTCAGTGCAATTGCCGCCGCGGACAAGAGCCGGGGTTGCGGTGATGGCAGTATTGACGTCACTGGTGCTGTTTTCGTCGCCCCGAACAATTTGGGGTAAATCCAACACGTCGGATGACAGGGCGTTCACCCCGGTGGCGGAAGGCGTGGTGCAGCCAAAACGAGCGCTCACCGCGCGTGTTTTGTCCTCAAGATCATTTGCTGCAGCGCCCTCCGCCACCGCCGCCGCCACCGCCACCGAATCCGGCCTCACTGGCGTGGCTTTGGCGTGGCCGTGGCTGTGCGCCGCGGCGTTGTGGCGGTTGAAGCCAATGTCCCACATCTTCCGCCTGGCCCCCTGCGGCGACGACGGCGGCGTCTTTTCTATGCTCGGCAGCGGGAAGTCGTCCAGCGCGGGCAGTCCCATGTCATGAAGAAGGTATAGCTTGATGAGGTTAGTCGCAATGAAGCTGAGGTCCGGCAGGGAGGTGAGGATGCGGTGCAGGAGGCCGCGGCCGGACTGAACGCCCTGGTGCATCTCCACGCGAAGGTCGGGGGGAGAGAGGCCTCCAAGCCAAAACACCTTGCTGGGCGGCGGCCCCACGCTGACGCGCACGCGCGCCGAAAGATGCATAATCTTGATGGAGAGCACCACGTGCGGAATGCGAAAGCCGCGGTAGGTGAGGTTGAGCCGCAGGCACAGCGTGGCCCCGCCGCGGTAGAGCACATCAAAGTCAAAGACCATCTCCCCATTTGCCACCAGCTTTGGTGAAGACACATTGCTGAAGATAGGCACCTCCTCCCCAATGAGGAAGTCGTCGAGAAGGATGCGCCCCCCAAGCTCCCGTGGGAACTTATTCAGGCTCAGCTCATCAAAGTTTTTCTGCAGTTTCATGCCAATAAAGTTGGTCAGCGCCGTCATGCGCATGTTCTGCCGCATGAGACGCGTGAGCAAGAGGTTGAACGAATCGGGTGTGGTGACCGTCCGCAGGTAGGCTCGCCAGTGTGCGACCTCCTGCGGTGCTCCAAGTAGCGTCTGCCACCGCTCCTGCTCCCACAGGTAGTAGAACTTCACAACGAAGGTGTGCGTGGCGTCGGAAACGCGGTCCGTGTCGCTGTCGACGCTACCGGGACTCACAGTGGAACCCATGACCGCGCTGGTGCTGACCACGCTGCCTTTGGGGTGTTTGCCGCGACTGCGGCTCGCGGAGCCCCCACTGAGAGAGGAGCGAAACGGCTCCGACATGGAGTCCTCCAGCACGTCCCGGTCACCCTCAAACAAAGGTCCGTCATCGCAGGCGCGAATGTGCAGGACATGTCCGTGCAACGCCCTCGCCTTCGCCCCGTGGCGGCCGCTGTGCGGCACAAACGAGGGCTGCACGACGATGCGATCGATCCGCACACGCCCATGCAGCCGCTCAACCGTGATGACGCGCTCGTGGCTGCCCACCCCCTCCGAGTTCTGCACCTGGTACACCAGCAGGTGCCTGTCGTTCAGCACCAACCGGCAGTCGTACACCGCGCCAACAACTTTGCCCGCTCTCGGGTACGAAATGCGGCACACCGTCGTGTGCAGCACAGAAGACACACCAGTCTCCTCCGGCAGCGGCGCCGCCAGCTCCACCGTGTCCAGCGTGCTCATTGAGGTGTAGCTAAGGGCGCTCTCGTGGTAGTTTGCCCGCCTCAGGCGGGTAAGGGCGATGTCGCAGCCGGAGAGGCGCACGTAGAGGGAAAGCAGGATCTTGTTGCTGTACTGTACAAGCCACATGAGATTTTCGAGGCCGTAGAGGTAACACAGCGGCAAGGCGATGGCCCCGGCAATCCAGCCGTACACAAACAAGACAAAGGTGTCCAGCATTTCACGCAGGACAAAAAGGTCTCGCAGGGGAAAACTACCAATAACCGTTGTGTGTGAAAGTATAAAAATACATAAACGTATGTGTATTGTACGTGTATAAGACTGGGGGGAAGAAGAGGAAACCCTGGCAAGAAGAGGGGAGGAAGGAGGAGAAACCACCTGTGCGCGTATACATCCACGTGGTGCGTCGACACTTTGAACAGCAGGGTCACGTAGAAGCCGCCGTGGCGATGAAAGAGATCCCGCTGGCACGGCAGAGGCAAAGACCGAGAAACACACACATACACGCACGATACAACAGCGGGGGGGTGGGGGGGTGCAGAACATGCTCCGTGGGACGAAAAAACGCTCGGTACAGAAAATTACGCCTTACTCTTTGCAAAGCGCAGAGCTCCCCGCCTCCAGGCAGGAGAGCATGTCATGTAACTGACAGAACCACTCGCGCTGCCGCTGGCGGGAATGCAGCCTCACCGTTGTGTCGCGGGAACCACACAGCTCGCCAACGCCGCATAGCAGCAGCGGGTAGCGCCCCTCCGCGCATAAAACAAAGTTGCGCCGCAATAACTGCATCTGAACAGTCACTTCACGATTGAGGAATGTCTCCGCGGCACGTACGCGACAAATGTACGCAGCATCAGCCGAGACACCCTTCCCATGCAGTCTACGCTTCTGGCGAACTTCAGTTGTGTGGTGTGCCTGTGGCAGGCGGGGAAACCAGTCCTTTTCATTGCCTGGGTTCCTTTCACCCAACTCTACGAGCGCCACGCCGCCGTTGGTCGGCAGTGTGGGGGGTTTGGTGTACTCCATCACGCATGGCATGTCTGAGAGAAGTGGGCAGTACTGCAGAGACTCGGGAAACGCAGCGTCCTCGGGGTCAACGTCGGCGTGGCCCGTTTTTGTCGGTGCGCCTTTGCGCGGTCTGGCGTGCGATGAAAACAGCTTCTGAAGCACAGGCTCCTGCGCGAGCTCCGCCATCTCCAAGGATATTTGGAGCAGATAATTATTACCCTTGACGACAAACGGGAAACTGCCGCTAAGCAGCTCCCTCCAGCGGCGTACGGCCCGCAAGAGCTCCACGGAGACCTGCTGGAGTAGCCACATAAAGTAAAGCACACCATGGCGGTAGTAGCGCCGCCGTATCACCGCCGCGCCAACCTGTGGGATGCCCACGACACCGTGAACGGCGGAGGATGCGGGACGCCGTGGAAACATGCAAGCTTGCTGGTTCGGCAAGTCAAAGAAAGGCGTTAACGACTGCAACCGCTGCCATGGCTGTCGCTGCCTCACCCATGGCCGCAGCGAGCCACTACGAAAGGGGCGCCGTTGCGCCGCATCGTCATCGCTGTGCCTGGAGGCCCTCTTAACGCAAAGGTCGGACTCGGCCATCGCTAAGAACTCTCGTAATTTGGATATAATCGTCTCCCGCTGATCTACGATGTCCAGCACATCCAGCGTCCGTGCCACGTGCCTGCGAAGCAGCCAGCGTAGTTGCATCATGTCCGTAATGACGGCTTCGTGCTTCCCCGTGGCTCTCACGCCTCTGGCGCCGCTTCTGTTGACATTGACACCGGGCTCCACCGATAGGCGTCGACCTCGTTGTTCGAGTGGGCTTGCTGCACGCCTCGCTAAGAGACCTTTAACATGGTTAGATGCATGAGCGCCTTCCATTCGCGTTTTGAGTAAACACTGTTTTTCCCTGTGTCGGCCCACTGCGCCCTGTAAGAGGAGGGCATGGCAGGCGGGGTGTCGAGAGTGTGTGCCCCCTGCCACGGTACGGACGGCAGCCTCAACATGCTTGCACACCGGTGTCGCGGTCGAGGCCGACGTCATGCCCTGCGAGGGAGTGGGTACGATACCTTCAAAGGAGCCACCGTTTTTGTCCAAGCCGCCGCAAGAGTCAGAGGGCGGCGGCGCAGATGTCTCTTGTGTATCTGCCTCCGTTGGTGACATGCGTGACGGCGTTTCTGCCTCCTGCCGCACTGCTCGCTCCACGGGGGTGATGATGTGCTTCTCAATCACGTCCGCGTCTATCGCGGGCAGCCGGCAGCTCCGCATCAGGCCTCGCACCTCCCCCAGAAGATCCTGCAGGGCCAACGCCTCCCGCCGCCTCAGAAACTTCTCGGTAAAGGCATCCTGCTGATTCTGCTCGTGCAGGTCCCAAGGCGAGGAGGAGGCCCTGACGCTCCCACCCTCCTCTGCCTCCCACTCCACGCCTTGGTTGGCGCCGTCACTGCCATGGATTTTTTCCGCCGCGGCAGGAAAAAAACCCTGGTTGTGCCCCATGAGTGCCTCATATTTATTCCCCCACCAATCCCCGTGCCGCCACGGCGCCGCAAGGGCGTCCACCGCCTCATCCTCTTGCAGAGTCATTACACCGCTGTTCCCGGCCTCGCGTGTTGCCGCTGTTGCTACTGGTGGTCTCTCGTCCCGCCACGCGGTACTGACGCCGCCCACAAGATGCCGCTACCCTACAACTGCACCCATCCACCCAGAGAGAGAAACACGAGGAACAGTAAAAGAATAACAACAGCAACCAAAAAGATACAAGACAACTTCCGCCCCACCGCACACACACGCAGAGCGATAGAAGAAGGCTGGGTGACTGAAGCATATATAGGCAGCAAGCAACTGATCACATCAGATTACCCGCCCTAGAAGACGGCAAATCACGCACCTCAACACATCAGAAGATTATCGTGTTCACGTTTATCTCCAGGCATCGGGTGCGATGAGCAAGAATAAACCACACACGCCGGCATGCCGCTTTGATCAGAGCATGGGAGAGCACCATCCCAATCCTCGACGGTAGTCGCGGCAGTAGTAGGCGCCGATAGACGGCGTCGCCCACACGCTTCATCTCATCCTCAGCAATTACACCATTCACCACAGACGCGATGCGGCGCACCCCATCCCTGGTGGAGACGCTGTAATTATTACTCAAGCGCATAGCAAAGAGAACAATCCGTTCAAGGCGCTCAACGGTTAGTCGGTGCACATAGCAAAACTGTGGCTGATGGGATGGAGAAAAGACGCTTATGTTTCGAATCCTCGAAGAATAAAAACCGCTGCCCTGGTCAATGTAGGCAAACCGCGGGGTGCTCTTGGAGGGTCGCTCGTACAGACGCTCGGCCCGTGCGGCATGGCACGGCAGATTTGGTGCGCAGGCCGCAAGCACGTAGCTGTTGTGTCCCTTCCACCTATCATAGTTAGCAATAATGGCGTCAAAGGCCATTTGATCCCAGCGCTCCCGCGTCAACAAGTAGTGTGTTGGCGACAGCGGCATCCCATCGCCTCTGCCGGTGTCAGCATGGCTGTTGTTATTGCGAAGCAGCCTTTCCATCCATTCATCATCTTTCACACCAGGAGCGACTTTGAGACCCGGTTTTCTGTTGTCACCCCTCCTACGCTTCACAGACCGATGTAGTCGCATATCACCTGCAAAGGTGGATTGCTCCACCAGATGCACGTCCCACAGCCAAAGCTGCACAGAGGCCAGAATGCACTTCAGGTTTGATCCACCAAGCTGATTTATGAGTCGTGAATCCTCGCACCTCGAGATGACTGCCTTCGCCCGCTTTAACTTGAACACCTCGGACTCCACCCAGTGCACGTAGAACGGACCCAGTGAGGCGGCGGCGGCCTTTATGTAATCGACAGGAATTTGCACCCACGCCGTTGGTGGGGTGCGCCTAAAGGCAAGAAGGCGATCCATGTGAAACGCCACCGTCTCGCTTGCCGGCTCCAGTTCAAATTTCCCCTGGGGAAGCTTCACCACCGCCGTGACGTTGCCGTGACGAAAGGAAAGCAAGAACTTGATGGTACGTCCTGATGCAAGCAAACTTGACAAAGGCTTCAGTGCCATCCAGTTGGCGGGGTTTCGAAGGTATGCCAGGCAGGCAAAATCCTTACTTGGCGTGTAGTCCGCGTCTGCTGGGTCACAGAACTCCACAGAGCCAACGCGCTCCTTCAGCCTCTTATAGATGTCAGGGTTATATTCAGAGAGATGTGATTCTTTTTTGTAGCAGTCAGCCAGCTTGGCAGACAACTGCGGCGTGGCGCCGGGTTCCACGACTGCTGCCCCGCCCCCACTAACAATGTTTTGAAGCAGCGGCAACAGCACGCCATGATGTTTGTATGTGTAAATATCTTTAAAGTTATGGACACCCTGCGTCACGGGTTCAACCGTCTGCCGCAGCAGCACCGCATATCTGTCGCGAGCCAAGGACCACAGCATTTCAGAGAATCCCGCGGGAAAGATGCTTGGATGCGGCGGAAGCAGCGGGAGTTTGTCCAGAGGTTGGCACTCCGGCAACACGGCGGTGGCGAACTGCTCTGTTTCGGGCTGCCGCACCACGCGAGCCCCACCTACTTTATTTTGCAACCACGCACTGTTTGCGGCCTGTTCCCCATCATGCCATGTCATATATTGAAAGACAGCCAAGTTGAGCAGCGTGAGCAGCAGTAGTAAAGCGACCAGCTGACTATTCACGGACTGCCTCCAGTGGCCAGTGTTGCGTCCCATTCGTGCGTAGCCGCGCAACAAGCGGTTGACCCGCGTGCAGCTGTGGGCCACATCATACATCAGACGATAATCACCCCACCCACCCACCCAAAAAATAAATAAAAAAAAAAGAGACAGCGTGGAAATAAAAGCACGCATAAGTACTGTGCGCTGGCATGTATTTTTCTCTCGCCACCCACCCACTCTCTCACTCTCGCCGTGTGTTGTCCATCTCTCCCTCTTCAAGGCCACGTATAATATATATATATATATATGTACGCCGCACCCCATCCCGTGCGGATACACCTTCTCACAGCCCAAGCGACTGAGAAAGACGCCTGTTCTCCGACTGCAGCTCGCGCAGAGCGCTCATGTTTGCCTGCAGCGGCAATTCGAACATCTCCAGACAGCGAGTCAAGTCTTCGCGCAGCACGGCACACTCCGCACGCTCCTCAGCAAACGCACGCTCAGCCATTAGCACCCGATGCGCCAACTCATTTGCAGTTATTTGCATTTCCTCCACGGCCTCCGCGTCCGCGGCTATTTGTTCTCGCTGCAGAGGCACTAGGTCCTCTTCACAATGCCTCGGCTCCTGCTGAAGCCAGTGCAGCTGCTGTGGTACTGACGCCCCTCTTGGCTGCAGAGCCTCTATCCTTCCTTCCTCTACTGTATCCTTTTTGTCTCGTCCTCCAGATGCCTGTATAATCTCCTGCCAGGAAAACGTGCTTCGCTCTTTCTCCAACGCTGGGAATATTTCCCTACCCGGCTCCCGCCGCCCCTCACCTCGCTTCATCAGGTTGCTCGCGTCGTGAGTGTTGCCAACCACACATGCTGGCTCATGCACGGAGTCGCTTGGAAGGAAACGTTCCAGGTCCCACTCGTTTGGTCCCACCATCCCTTCTTTTTCCGATTCCCGGAGCCATCGATCCGCGGTGCCGTCTCCATCGGCGTCTGACCATGCTCCTACGCATCGCTGGCGTCGCCCCCCGATAAAGGGGAACACCTCCTGCAGCCGAACCACATTATCAGCATGTGATAACTTCTGAGATGGGCTTTCTCCCACAAATGACGGCCTCGTCCAGGCCGGCGGAGAGTCTTTGGAAGTGGCCCAGTGAGACGTCACAGGGGAAGACCGCCGTGTCACCTCTGCCTGCACCGCCGCTTCTGCAGTAAGGGCAAACACAGTGCCCACTGCTGGAGCGTCTCCACGCCACACATGCGCGTCTCCAGCCCTGCGCTGCACCTCCTCCACTCTGCCTGCTTGTGTTGGTGCAGTGCCACCGTTCAGGACGGCCTTCTCGACGCCGTCCTCCCCCCCTTCCATTGCAAGCTTCCCACTGCCACCGTCGTTGATAAACGTGGGAGCGGTGACGGTGGCCTGCAATGCGCGCTCCTCCGCAAGCACCATATCCCACCCCAGCGTGATGAGCGGGCGACGCCTCAACAGTGATTCAGAGGAAGTCATTGAAACGTTACTCGCAGCATCGCTTGGTTCGTCGCACTGCATCTAATTGCGCTACAGATGCAAGACGCATGCTCGCGCACGGGAAGCTTGACCAGCCCGAGAAGCAGACAGCCCCTGGTGCTTACTCCACCCGTCTCCGCTGATCTGCCGTTGAAGAGGGCTGCAGAGCGATGCTGACCGGGAGGACGCGCGTATGAGAAGCCGCAATCAAAAGAAAAGGGAGGAGGGGGGGGAAGCTGCTACTTCGGCTCTTGTGTGCAGAGATGTGCGTGTGTTTTAGCAGGGCTACATCCAACAAGAAAAGAGAGGGGCAAACGAAGAAGGAGGAACTGAAAAGTGTGAGGGAGTACGCGTTTCCTCCCTTCCCTCTGCCCACACACACCAGCACGCCTCAGCGCCAGAAAAAGCAAAGACAAAACGGCAAAGCCGAGAAGATTCCTCGCCCACCGTGTGGAGCACCTTTTCTTCTACTTGTGGATGGTGCACCATTGCCGCCCTGCAATCCCTTTGTGCGAACGCTGCGCAAGATGTGCAGCAGGATATCCCTCCATCACGCCCAGACGAGCAGAAAAGACGGCCACAGGGGGGAATGCAACATACATGCACACGCAGAGACTTCCACATACAAACATATACATAAATAAAAGAGATATTCATCAATTAATCTCACCGAAAATGGTCCTATTCACCGTCATTGGGGTTCATAGCTGGTGGTCGAAGGCACGCGTCACCTTCCTTTTCTTTCTCTCTCTAGACACACACACACACATATGTACATGCACATATGTGTGTATGTAGTCGTCATGTGGGCATGCATGCATGTATCACATGTTCCTCACTGCGCGGCTGACTATTCGGCTCCACTGCAACCGCATCCTCGCCCCGAGGCCCGCCACACGTTATTTATTCATTCCTTCATTCGTGTTCTTCTCGCAAGGGCTTCAGCCTCCACACACGCATGCATACACACACAAAGACACATGAAAAAAAAAAAAACAAGATCTCCCAGAGATATTACTACTAATTGGTTCTTCTTTTGACTTTAACCTTTTTTGCAAGTGGTGGTGCTCCTGATCATGGTATCCACATAGACACCAATGCGTAGATCTACAGCTGTACATGTCCTCTGGCAAAAAAAAAAACACACACAGCACTGCACTGCACGCCACACACACGACAAGCGAGACAGTGAGACAGTGAGAAAGAAAAGCAGCAACCACAACCCCCTGGATAAAGAAAAACCGTAATTCAGACGGAAGCAACAATCCCAAAAGAGAGAGAAGAAAAAAAAAAAAAGTGCAGTGCTACGACTGTGATGTCCACCACGCTGTGCCTCACACGTAAGCACACCCCACACGCGTAGTCATCACCCTTCCAGATATGACTCTTTTTTTTTGTCTGGTTTGGTTTTGCCAATAACACCGCAGGCCGGCCTGGTGGGGTGGGCATAGACACACGCACACAGACGGAAAGGTAGAGGGGTTGGGGAAGGGAATAGTTGAGAAACAAGGAGATACATGGCAAAGCTCAGTAGGTAAAGGTATAGCCGTACAGGTCTATACATGGAGGCAGAAACATATTACATAGATGTCGATGTACTGCCTCAATTAATAGTTGGTGTGTGTAGAATAGAAAGAAAGGAATTAATAAAGAAAAGCAAAAAACAAGACGAGTAAACAAATAAGTAGGAGAAGATGAAAAACACACACACACCAAAAAAAAAAAAAAANAANANANANACACACANANANATACTACTACTACTACTACTACTACTACTACT